TTTCAAATGCAACAGAGTTGAAGACTGTCGATGATACGTGGGGGAAAACGTTCTACACTAATTCAGAAAGGTCAATAGCGCTTACTGCTTACTTCATGAACATCATAGGAGCCATATAAGCTACTATATAATGCTGAATGGACGTGGATAGGGATGTGAATCAGCATGTGTCTGCTCAGTTGTGAATCTGTACAATTTCCCCAATGTCCTAAGGGTTTCCTGGAATTTCACTAAGTAGGAATGTGGGCATAGATGTGTGTCAGCAAAATCCCAGAGATGTGAGACATCCCTGTGGACATTCCATTCCTGTGGATAAAATGCTTGTACAACTCCTAGAATTCTTAGAAACTGCACACAATACTGTACAATTAGGCTCCCCCTGAGGCGTCGCCAAAAAGGGAGAGTAGGGGTCCTTCTCCTTTTGAGTTGTTCAAACCAGTCCGGTGTTGCGAAGCTTGTACTTAGATGTACACATTGCATTGTACAAAATGGGGCTTTACGCCTACAGACGGTTTACCGGCTGTTATGCGAAACAAAGTGTAGAAGAAGACCCAGCTGTGCGCGTTATTAAAGCACAGTGATATCGTCTTCCTCACACAGGAAGCGAAATTCGTCGGTACACCAGCCTGGGATGTTGGTCGGACGACGATGACCGCGCCATTCCAACACTCGAGGGGACAGATTCACGTTTGGAAGGCGACTACAGAAAACGCCATGACCCCACCAAAAAGTGTTACCAGGCCGCTCGTTCTCGTGGTTTTACTAGCCTCCTTCGCAGTCTTGTTGGGCGTGGGCGTAATTTTTTCTCTGAGCGACGCGAGTAATATGCGGCCGCGAGGGACGATTTGCTGCCGAGGGACTTTTGCCACGGAGAGAAGGTTTCCGCGCTCCAACAAGACTGCTTCCAATCGGCGACTAGAAAGGGCTATCAAAAAACAATTAGGAGCGATTGGCATGGATGTGTGAACTTCCCGCAATAAACGCCACGAATGCAGGGAGGTGTTCACGCCCCGTTGCTCGACGAGCCAAAACTTGTAACTTTCTAGCAGTCGCCGATCAACCCGTCGGTAGAACGCCAACCATTCCCGAAAACCGAGCCCTATTGTATCCACTCAACAAAATCCCGCAGTCATTGCTGCTACGATAAACAACTTTGAAAAGATCACTACCACAGGAACCCGCAAGCGCTGTGATATTGCTGGGGGACGTGGACAGATAAACAAAGAAAGTGCCGCCATGTTGTTTAGTGGCGGGTTGATCTCACTGGTCATGGGAGGGTAACGCACCGCTCCGCAGCAAGTTGCGTAATAGAAAGAATGGCACATTTCACCAGCAAAAATAGTACTGCAAAGTTTGTCTTGGTTTGTTTGCATGGGATGCTTAAATATCCACAGCAATGCCTTTGTTGCAACATTACCAATGTTCACTCTTTCTCTGTTGGAACCTTCGACTACGCAAGCTATAATAAAACCAACCGTTGACAAAGGCGAGCGCGTGTCAGCGTATCTGTGAATTACCCTTGCGCGGACATGTGAATTGGACCTGCGCGAACATGTGAATTGGACCTGCACGAACATGTTAATAGCCTCTATGAAAGGCTGGCTTAATCCGAGGTCCTTTCTAGTCGCCGATTGGAAGCAGTCTTGTTGGAGCGCGGAAACCTTCTCTCCGTGGCAAAAGTCCCTCGGCAGCAAATCGTCCCTCGCGGCCGCATATTACTCGCGTCGCTCAGAGAAAAAATTACGCCCACGCCCAACAAGACTGCGAAGGAGGCTAGGTGGGCAGTGTTTCGGGTCTGCTGATGCTCACAAAACTTACAGCAAGTACGGACCTTCCACAGCCTGCCTAGTGGACGGCAAAGGTGGGGAATGGTCAAACGAGGTCTACCAGATCACAGGTTAGATCCCCGGTGAAATCCCTGTCACACAAAGCCGAATATGGCGTCCCGAGCACCGCCGGACTTCCCAAACCATGGTTGGGAGTAGGTCGGGAGCAAGGTCGGCTTTGCAATTGGTTGGCTGGTGTTCCGCGAGGTAGACTAGAGTTGAGCTGCACCAGCTGAATGTTTCAAAATGTTTACAAAAACACTCGGGAAGTTGGGCCATGGTTGGGGACTGGTTGGCTGGTGATTGTGAGTAGGTCGGCAGTGCTCGGGGCGTGGCTGGCAGTCAAATTTGTATAACATTACTCGAAATTAGTATGGAAAGGTAGGCATTGCCTAATTTAATAAGACTAGCTGCTTCCAACATACTGCCAACCTTGGTTGGTTGGTGGTCGGGCGAAGGTTCTGAATGTCACAGTGACAGGGGCTTAAATGGTGTGGTCCAAACCTGAGGAGGGTTATCCAAATAAGTGGGGCGATGTCTCTGTTACTCTGTAACGTCACGTTTGTAAAGATTTTTTATCCTCATAAGAAAGCACTGTCATTATATCATAAACATCTTTGTCATGTTGATAAACATACTTTTAACTAAAACAAAATAGACGGGCCAGCAGAGAAGTTTGCAAGATTAAGAGTAAGAGAAAACAAAAACAAAAGGATGAGTTTTATGTGTTGTAGGGCAACAAAAAGGTCTAAGTGGTAAGTGAAGCTGAGGCATTTGTGTATCATAACAATAGTACATAACAATAATATAACTACATTAGAAAGGTAATCATTATGTTTACCTTTACATCTAGCCCAACGAACTACTGCTCTGTTTGTTCTTTAAATCATTTTGACTACTTGCACTTGCAACTGCAGGCAAAATTGGAGCTGTGCAGGCATTTCTGATATCTACCTGCACCTAATATATATAACTTGCACTGGTCCAATTGGTTTATATACAAAAAGGTAATGTGGATTTTCATTAGCTGTGTTTACTGTCACCGCCTACTAGTATGCGAAAGGGCATTAGAAAAATCAAGCAGGGCCGAAATAAACAAGATGCCTAGATTTGAAATATACTATACTACGAGATGACAAATGTTAGGACACAAATTGAATCAGATGACACAGTGTGAACAACCAATTGCAACAAGTCTTTTTTCCGAGTGAAATAGCAATAAATCAGTGGAACGGCAGTTGTTGTCCTGTTTCTTTCCGTTCATCGTATCTTCCAATCTTGTGATTTGCGGCACTGTCGTGACTCTTTGGTAGCGGAATTTCTAGTTTTTTTCTGGGGATAGACCAAAATCAATCGGTGCGCGACGTCATCCATAAAATTTCCTAGGTGTGGCCTTCTGCACTTTGTGCCGATTCAGTAGCGGTACAAAGTATAGTGGATTCATTCCTCAAACTAACCGACATCTTCACACTGCAGTCATCCCTCAGTAAGACATCTGGAGTGGCATAGTTCACGTTTAGAACTTTTATTCAGCCTGTCACGACCGGTTTTGCCCCGTCGGCTTCTATCCGCATGGGGGGGGGGGTCCCGGCAACGCTCTACGCTAAATTTTGAGAGCTCTCGATTACGCTTTACGATAAAGTGGCTACAACGCATTACGTAGAATTGAAATGGCAAATACGCTCTACGCAAAACGCGCCAATTACGCTCTACGTTGAATTAGAGCGCTCCGTCTACGCTCTACATAGAATTAAAACGGCCGATTACGCTCTACGGAAGAGGGCATGCGGGCCCCTTCAAGTGTGCAGTGGCTCGAATTGTGCAAATTCAGTAACAGTTCAACTTACTGTATACTAGTATGTTTGTAATGCTCCACGTGTATTGTTATCGTTGTTGCAATTCGAATAAAGAAATTCAGTAGCGAACTTTTAAAAGATTAGAACGCGATCAAAAATGTAGCTTGTGTTACCCCAGACGGGATTCGAACCCGCAATCTTCAACTTAGGAGGCTGACGCCTTATCCATTAGGCCACTGGGGCTCACATAACGCGGTGAAGGGACATGTGGCCAGTGTAAATTTGGAGGCAAAGTCACACATCATTGTTAAAATTCCTTACGAAACTTGATCTGCATCATAGGACGATATACATTTGTACATGTCTCTCCGCACTCGACTTTTGGCGCCCCTTTTCACAAATATCAATTGAAAGAAATTGCTTTAAGCTTAAGTGATCCGTATCACCCGGATTTTGTACCGATTTAAAAATATCAATTCATATAAAATGGCCTTGGAAAGTTGTTTTGAAGTTTGCACTGCCAGTCTGCCTACGCGGCATGATGTCTCTGACACTGGTCTGCAATTCTAATATACATCGCTAGATAGCGCAATGACTGTGGAAGTTCGCTGCCACGTTTAGTAAGGAAGCTCCACAATTAGAAATGGGTTCCTTCCAGTTATAAACATTTGTTTATCTTATGAACACTCCAGTAAATATTTCTTTCACTTTATATGATTGGAGATTTGCTGCCTATTGAACATAAGCTCTTCCCACCCCTGCAAAACATTATCATAATGGTACAACCCACCACTGTCATTACTTCCGGGTTCAAACAAATTGACAGTTTTGACTTTCGAGTCCACGCAAGCAATGGTCGGTGAGTATGTATTTAATAGATATCTCTTTACATCCTAATCGTGAGTTATCAGTCACTGCTAGGTACTAAGGAGTGTTCCACATTTTGAACTTGACGCAAAAAAGTAGTACTGTACATCTAAACTAAAATTATAACGTTTGCAAAGCTAATCTACCTCTATGAGCTAATAGCATTAAAATATGCTTTCCTTCACATGGTCTAGCCCAACAAACTACTGCTCTGTTTTAACAGCTCCTCCATGCCACTTGCTTCAATGTTATCCAACATCATCACAGGGTGTCTGCTAAATCACTAGTTACTATGGTGACAGATGTCTGGACCAGGTCATTGACCTAATGTGTTTGGAGAAGAAGGAGAAAGGGAGCAAAAACAATAATGATGTCCTTCTGCAAAGTTAAAACACAATGAGGTATAAATATAAGGCCTGACTATCAAACCGTACAACTAAGAAGGGGGGATGGGGTGGCAATAACAAGAAACTGACATCTAAAAATGAAATTGATGTTTATTTCAGAAACCATCCACATGTGACAACCAGGGAATCAGGCCATGTCTCCAGTCCAGGTCCTAATAATAGGAGCGGGGGTGAGAGGAGAAACTTATGCCCAGTATGCCCTGAACTACAGCGAACACTTACAGGTGAGGTGGTTTAATTTAATTACCCTTAAGGCCACGTCATCTTCTTTGACCAACACTTGTTGCTTTAATTATAAGGGGGCCTGCATGCGCTTTTTCGTAAGGCGTAATCAGGCCTTTTTTTGTCTTCGTAATCCGTAGGCAGCCTCCCAAAAAATCCACATAATTCGTAATAGAACATTACCTGCAAAGCGTTAAGTCGTAATCATCTTTGAGACTTTAACGTAATTTGTAATTGGCGGCAAAAATTTTGCGTAAATCGTAATCACTAACCCCCCATGCAGGCCCTCTTATAATTACTTTTGTACATAGACTGATAGAGTGTTTACTTTATACCTACTCGACTTCACCTGCCTAAATTTCCTGGTTTGGTTCTATATACATGTACTATGATTTACTATAGAATGACTGATTAAAGATTTCTTGGTCACAGCAACTTTTAGAATTTCCCTATTCATCAGAAGTCCTGCTTCCTTTGCAGGTGGTTGGTGTTGCCGACCCTCGCCTGTTCAGGTGCAAACGTCTGCAGCAGCTGTATAACATCCCAGCTGGGAATGTGTTTACAGGTGAAACCACACATTCACTCCTTGAAACATCATGTTCCAACTTTCTCCTTAGACTTTCTTTTCATGTTGATCTTTCATTTCAGGAAATTAAAATTGGCTTAAACAAGCTTTGAAGTGTATCTTGAAGGTTGTACAATTGAAAATTTGGGTTAGACCAATTCCTTCTGTTCAAACTTGCTTGATATACATTTGTATATATACTAGTAAGCTAAATACAGGTAGTTTGTTCGAAAATATGAACTTGAACTTTTGCCCCCTCCATTTCCCCAGACTGGCAGGAAGCTGCGGGCAGAGAGAAGTTTGCCGACTGTGTTGTCATAGCAACCCCAGACCAGCTGCACAAGGGTCCAGCCGTGGCCTTCGCTGACCGAGGCTATCACATTCTACTGGAGAAACCCATGGCAGTGAGTTCTCAACAACCGGAACTTAAAAAGTAGTATTTTGACAGTGCTCCGTAGTTTAAGCCTTTGTGTATCTATGTATAGATATTCCTGTAGATGTAATGAGTTGATGACTTTGATTTCAATGTCCTGTCCTTATCTAATGAAGCCTAGCTTGGTACCCAGGCTAGCACCCAGCCCTTTGTTTTCATAATGTCCTTTGCTAAATTCCTTTCAAATGTACCAAAACCAAGTAGAATCTGATCATGTAATTGGCTTTATCTGGCAGGATAGTGGCAGTATAGTGGTAGTATAATTGTATATACATTAAGTTTTATCAAAAATACATTCATCAAAAATAAAATGGACTTTTTGTATTCGTTAGATGCAATGTAACAATAATATATTGCTGTACTGATGTTTTACATACATAACATGTTTTAAGGTAACAGAGGAGGACTGCAGAGAGATTGTGTCTGCTTGTGAGAGGAATAATGTCATCCTGTCTGTGTGCCATGTGCTGAGATACTACTCACCAGTACAGAAAATAAAGGTCACTATTAATAATGTCCTTATATTATGTCATCTGTGTAAAACATAAAACATATTGTTCTTTGATGTGTTGAGTTTGATCTGAATTCTATAAAATTGTTAGCTCGGAACTGTCATTGTTACACGTTAACCTACTAGTACATGCATATAGCAGTTTTCCAGTGTAACTTAAGGCAATAGGATACATGTAGTCTAGGGTTTTGTCAGGAATTAAAGTTTGTCCTTTGTTTTGTAGGAACTGATTGACAGTGGTGCCATAGGAGAGGTAGTCAACATCCACCACATGGAACCAGTGAGGCAAAATTCAATGTTTCTCTCTTTCATTCATTTTCCTCATTGATACGTCAACCAACCAATCAATCAATCAGTCAATCAATCAACATGTATATAGATTTTTCATTAGCTACATGTTTACTATAAAAGAAATAATGGCAATGGCATTGGCAATGGCAGTTTTTAGTATGATTCATACTTCCTAAATTATGTGTGGTGCATTTTCAATGTTACCTGCACCAGTGCAGGTATGCAACAAAAAATGATTTCAAGCCCTGCAGTATCAACTATACATAGTAGCCTTCTTTACTTGACTTGTAGGTTGGTTTCTGGCACTTTGCCCATTCCTTTGTACGCGGGAACTGGCGGAACACGACAGAGAGCAGCTTCTCTCTCCTGGCCAAGTGCTGCCATGACGTCGACCTCATCCGCTACTGGCTCTCAGGATCAAGGTCAGGTCATGTCTTCTTTTTATGCCACAATTCTAGATTATCATCTATGGTAATGGTATACATGTATGTATCATTAAAATCAAGGGTTAGAGTTACGGGTCATTATCTTAAAGCCAATTCAAGCTGACATTGATACTCACACACTCACTCACTGTCCGGTTTATCGTCTGTTGTTCCCCGTCTTCTGATGGTTAGACGTGCTTGCACTATTGTCAGATCATTAAAGTCAGCCTTCACTTTCATTCACCCATACTTATATGAATTAAAGTATAACCAATTCAAATCGAGGCTTGTAGTTAGTCCACACAGCGTAGCAATCACAAAACTCTGTAATTGTTAAAAAACATACAGCAAAGGCCTAGCTGTGTAAAAGTCTGTCTATTTGTATACACCAGGTGTGTCAAGGTGTCCTCTTTTGGAAGTCTTCTTCACTTCACACCTGACAACAAGGTGAGAACACTAGACACAAAACACCCAGAGTATGTAAAGGATATGCATGTAATGCTACATATGCATGTAGATACGTTTCACTTATTGTAGCCCAAATTGCACTATCTGTTATGTATGACTAAATATATCTGTAAGACTGTGTGAAGTCTGTGCAATTCACCTGTATGTACCTTTCAGCCAGCAGGTGCAGCTAGCAGGTGTTTAGACTGCCAGGTGGAGAGCACCTGTCCTTATTCTGCCAAGAAAATCTATGTGAGAAGAGTTGAACAGGTGAGAATTATCGCTGTTAGACATGATATCACAATGATGCATGAACACAGATATTGTTAGGCCAACAGTATTCTTGCCATATCTTACTGAAAGGAGAACCTCCATGGCAAAAAAAATCAAGCTGGACATCTTTTTTCTTACAGTTGTTTTATTTTCATGGTTTTTGCAGTGACTTCTGCATTGATTATCCATCTCACACTATCCGGTTTAGCATCTGTTGTTCCCCATATTTCGAGGGTTAGATGTGTTTGCACAACAATGCTGCAGCTTGATGACAGCCCACTACTTGCCTCTATCCTATAAAATGTTCAGTGTCTACTTTGTATGATTGATTTCTATACTATAGCATCTGTTATATCAGTGTTAGCATGTCTTGCTGTATAATCCACACTGTGTGTTTAACATGATCAGGGGCAGACAGGCTGGCCAGTCAGTGTAGTGTGTCCTAAGGAGCCTGTTGACATCGAGAGTCTGACTGAAGCACTGAGAACCGGGCCTTACGGGCGCTGTGTGTACGACTGTGACAATGATGTCTTATCCAATCAGGTAACATTATGCTGCATTCTTCCCTAACTCTCTTCATCCTCACTCAATCCTTTTTTGAAATTCAATTCAGAGTGACTTTTTCTTTTCCTTTTCCTGTTTTCTAAGAGCATGACAATGCTATGATGTAAAGTTAAACTTCAAGTAAGAACATATAAAGACATGACTGATCTAAACCAGCTGATCAAAACTTGAATGTCCCAATTGCAATCGAATGGCCGCTACACATTTGCTAGCAACTGCAGAATATCTCCCTCCTGTCCTTTACAAAGATGTTGCTCTGATCATATACTGAATATCATGAGGTACCTTACAGATTTCATCTATTTCCAGGTTGTCAATTTCCAGTTTGAAGGTGGACAGACAGCATGTCTAAACATGGTGACCTTCACTCAGGAAGTGGGTGAGCGACAGACAAGGATCTCAGGCACCAAGGTAATTTTTTTTAATTATTATTCTTCATTTCCCAACAGTTTATTATAAGAGCATTTACACAGGTAAACTCAATTTATTTCCTTCAGTTGGCTCTTTATAGACATTTTACAGACCCCTTTGTAGTTGCCTGCATATGTCTGTCCATATGTGTGTCTTTCTGTGAGTGTGAGTGCAGTACACTTCCAAAATACCAGCAGTCATTATCAATACCTAACCCTGTTTTTGTTATTCTAGTTCTAGTCTGTTACAATGGTTTTCACTCCAAGCAACGACAAATCAAATTTGTGTGGTTTACCATGGTACATGGTGTATCCTTCCTTCCTTCCAGGGTGAATTACGCTGCTCAGGTGCAGGTCCTGTCTACCTCTATGACTTCCTGACTCAGGAAGAGACGAAACATGACTGTGAAGCGGCGCCCTCTAGCAGCGTGGGGGACATGCCACATGGTGGAGCAGACTTCTTCCTCATGGATGCCTTTGTCAAGGCTGTGCAGGTAAACTTTAAGCCGTTAGGCCGTGGCCCACTGTTCATTGTGCTTGTCGAAAAGAGCTAAGGGAATTTTCCAGTACAATGAATGAGCCTGTAAATACTGTCTTCTCCGTCATGACAAGTGGAAGAGTAGCTATTCAGATCTTTGCTTTGCTTTTTTAGAGGGACAGACATCACCCTTCATAGGATTGACATGCTATTTTAGCAGCCTAAAACATGAACATATGAACATACAATGTACAATGTTTTTTTTCCATAATACGATCATATTGTACTCACAAAATTAAAAGAAAAAGTCATGAAAATCCATGAAACTTAGCTTAAGTCATCTTGTGCACATCCTGTTATCAATCAAGAGACAACCTATTTTATAGTAATCTATTTTCCTGGAATGTAAAACATTTTCCTCAATGTAAGTTTTAAAAATCTCTGACCTCCCTTCTGATGAACTGTGTTACAGAGTGGTAACCAGTCCCACATAGTGACAGGACCACAGGACACCCTACACAGCCACCTGCTGGTGTTTGCAGCTGAGCAGGCTAGACTACAGGACAGAGTCATCAAAATACACCAGGATGGGTCCTACAGCTGATCACACATTGATAGATTATCTTTATAGGGACGAACAGCTTTTAAATGTCACAAAATTTTAGTGTAGGAGGAGTACTAGTTTTCAAAGTCAATGTGTGTTCTGGGGATACATGGACGACCAATTTCTGACATAGAGGGTCCAGTTTACAATGTGCTCCATGGCTGGCTAACTCCCCTGGTCTTTTACATTCCTTTTTAGGCCAATTTCTACCATTTATTCAGCCTGCAAAGAGAGTGGTCTATTGGAGACTTGCTCAGGGTATAGTATAAGTCACAAGGCACTTGTGATGACACCACACGATATTACATAATTATCTTTATTGAGAAGTATATATAATTTGATGTAGACATTATATGTTCAATAGGATTCTTATTTCATACATGTACATGTTGTGTACAACAACCTGTGCATGCAATTTAAAAACTCTTGTATAAAATCAAATTACAAAATTAATGTATATTGTGCCTTCACATACATACATGGCTTTTTGTTAGTCTGCATAATACTTTTAATTACCCTAAACTTACAATATTCTTTATTGTATTTAATAAGCAAAAAAAAGCAAACTTAATAATCAATGCATTTCTGGAATGTTGATAGTGCAATAAATGATCTGTATAAGTTGACACTTCTAGTAGTTCTACATGTATAGCATATTTTAACATTCCAAGAACATGTAGTGCAGTCATGTATCATTAGATCCTGCATACATGTATGTCACTTGACATCCTTAAAAATAATTCAGAATTCAATGTTTATGTAAACAAACAGTTATGTAACAGTCTGATTGTAGAATTGATGGAAAAAATAAATCTCTACTTTCAACAATGAAAGTCTGTAATGCTATAAAGTGTGATATGATGCAAGAGAATTAGACAGTACTATGTCAAGTGACAAGATTGTCTTTGTACAAGTCCAGCGGCTGTTAGCTGCTGTATTCTGCCTTAAGTTCTTGACTCTTCTTCCACAACCTGCCTGCTGTCTTCTGTGCTTGCTGGCTGTCCATACACTGGGGAGGAAATCATGTATAGGATTCAAGTTCAGTATGACTGCGCCACCTAGCAGGAAGTGGAAGTACTACACCAGGTAGAGGACGTAACATAACACATAATATAATGTAATCACTTTATGAAACTTAGTGTAAAATCAAATACAGACAATCTCCTCAGGGTTTTCATGTTGATCTTCCATAACAACAATTTATGGCTAATACGAGACCCACATTGGCCCTAAATAGCCAAGAACTGCAAGACTAAGAAAAGATTGGAGTCAGTCATGGGGGGTGTGTCCTCTGTAGGAATGATAATTCCCTACATGATAATGAGAACCAACACTAACTTTAGCCACACCAGATGCTGTACACGGTCATAACACCAGACCTAGAGTGATACTCCCATCATCTCTCCAATGGAAGGATGCCTTAGTAACTACTAGTTTGTGTCAGGTAATTTACTGTACCTTTCTCCTTGAGCCCTTTGCCAAAGTTTCCCCAGACCGTCCACGTGATGACCAGGATCAGGGAGTGGATGACACATGCAGCAATGCCACAGGCGATGGCTGCTGCTGACACAATTTTGGTGTCAGAGAGTGTTTTTCCCTTGTTGTGGAGCTGCTGGGCAACCTGCAGTTTTAGTAATACATGGTAATATAAGATTAACATTTTGATCAATCTATCCATCCATACATCCAATGACTTATCCATTCTTTTATCCCCCATGCATCTATCCATCAATCTATCCTTCCATCTATCCAAGCAGACAAACAGACAGAAGGCAGTTGAAGCCATGCACCCATCCATCTAATGTACTATTATTTAGTATGTAGATTACACAAAGTACTTAGAGCAGTTTGTGTAATCTCCATACTAAGTAGTAGTCACTCAGACACTTGAATATCCACATGAAAGCTGCAGGTAATTAACACTTATTATTAAAGACTTACAACCACCATCTTGTAAATGATGTAGGCCGGCTCACACCACCACAGTAGCAGGAAGATGATCACCAAAACTCTGTTCTCAAATCTCATCTAGAGGATGTATGTGCAAAAGCGGGAAGGCAACTACATGTTAATAGAAGCACATCAAATAAAACAGCTAAAATCAGGTAAGACAAGATACACCAAAAAAAGAACTCACTGGCTTTTTTCTTCCAGAATAGACTGAAGAAAAAATTTACAATATACATTTACGGCAGAAGGAAATATGTTTTAACCACTTAAAAAATGAAGATTAAAATGATAGACTAATTCTATGTGTACAGTTGGAACCTAACTTTGCAATTAAACTCACCGAGAGATATCCCATTATGGCCCAGACCAGCACAAACACAGTCCCCACAGACAACACCACGATGTCCTCAGGGTTCACGTCTGTTCCCTTGTCCATCACTAACACCACCATGGACAACTTTGGGAAAGAGAGAAAGAAAGAAATTTAAGGCAAATTAGAAATATTGCATTTGCCAAGCAACTGTCCATAATGTTAACCTTTGCATGGTCTAGTCTTACAAACTACTGCTCAGTTTATTCTTACTCAAACATATTACTATATGGTGACCAGCTCCTTCAGCTCTGTCCTGCAACTTGCTACATAATGTAACCCAACACCACAGGGTATGTGCTACAGCAACAGTTACCAAAGGTGACAGGCATCTGGTCCAGGTCATTGACCTCATATGTTTGCAGAAGAAGAAGAGCAAATAAAAACAATATGTGTGAAGGTAACATTAGACATAAATGTATGAAGCTTCTACCCAAAATAAACTGTAATAATGCTCAGAATATGAGAAAACTCACCTCCAGCTGAAAGTCCAGCTTCAGTAAAGCTTCGTTGAAGAAAGTCAGGTCACACATGTCTGTTGGCATATAACAGAAAATTAGGAAAATTATGAAGATTGTTTAACAGAATTCTATAGTTGTAGAATAGGTCATGGTGGCAAGAAAAAATTGGTATTACTTTTTTTTCACATTTTCACCAAGGAGGTTATAGGTATGTTGTTTTAACCAATGAGTTATTCCAAAGAGGTTATAGGCAGACTAAAGTGAATCAATAGTTTCATGACAAAGTTCAGAGAACCTTTTTTTTCATGCAACACTTTTGCAAGACTATTGTTCTAATTTTTGCTGAAATAATTGTATACAAGGTCAGAACATAACTTGTCCCCACTCCACCCCATACAATAGCGACCAGTATAGAAATCTTTATTTAAAAAGATATCATATGATAATGATAATTATGTAAATATGATGTTACTCTGCAATGCTTCGTTGGCGCCAACTGTTCTGAAGATGAGGTTGCGTGACTGATAGAAGGACACCAGGATGTAGACAGCCAGAGGAACAGCGATCACTGAGAACACCACCACCAGAATCAACCGCACCTGAACCCCACACACAAACAACAAGACTTTTGAAAAAAGTTTATCTCGGCCGCTGGCCATGTAGTTTTGTGTTCTTGGAGGATGTCCACATAGATTTGTGTAACTGCTAGAGAGGAAAGAATGTATTACCTAGTATGTTCATACCTGTAACACCAAACAGGGTAATAAGTTGGCTTCCATTATCATTTGCTTCAATGGAATTAGTGAAAAATATTAATCTCGAAGCAGATGTTGGGAGGGAAAATGTTTAGGTAGAGATACAGATTTTCATTTGTGATTGAAGATTTGAGAGACAGGAAAGAGTTTAGGATATGTATGTGGAGCTAATTTCTCTGTTAGAGTAGGTTACACAGCTCTATGTATGGGGAAGACATTTTTTGGAATCAGTAGTGTCATGTTGTATATTACAGAGGAACTATGTTTCATCTGTATGTTTCATTGAAATTGTAATGTCTGGACAATACTGATGAATAAAGAGCAAAGATGCATGTGTCAAAAGTGAAATGTTTTATTTTGGTATAACTTCATGAGACAACACAAAATGGAGTGGCTACAATAACAGACGCTGTCAAACGTTATCAAGCTTAATGCACTAACATATTGTTAGGTTGTACGAATTCATAAATTTCGACGGGGGGGGGGCGATAACGTAACTCTGTTTAAATCTGTTCAACAGCACGAATAAAACACAATGTAATTGATTGCCCTTGCCCGTAGTATCTTTAGCTCCATTTTTATCCTATGGCTCTATGCCTAATACCCTTATAATTCCTGATATTTTGCTATTTTTGCTAAGTAAATACCTAAGCAGCCTCATGCGTTACATCCGGGATCTTCGATATGGGAAATTCCATTCAGGCCACTAATCAAAAGCGACATCTTGCGACCGAGGAATATAGTGCACTTCCATAACCTTCGTCTTGACTTATTCAGATGTCTCAAGATAATATTAAAACGTAATTTTTTAAACTTGGTTTATTGGTGCAATTGCAGCAGTTATTACCAAATCTTTATAACATTTAATGCATACTACTCTCATGTCCCTAATAAACATACCCCCGGAATAAACATACCCCCCGGACAAATCTTCAAAGTCTAATATACATACCCTCCGGAATAAACGTACCCCCGGAAATGACCAAATTGACAGGTGAACGGTACTAAAATGTGCTCTTTATTTCAATACCAATGTATGGGCAAATCTTTCACTGTTACTTTTGATTAGGAATATAAATATACTGTACTAGTACTCAACAAACAGTGTCGACATT